CTTTCTCAAGTAAGAACCAAGTCAAATAGGCATGAATCAATGTTTGCAACCATTAATTCTAGAAATAATGCATAAACAAGACTAAATAATAAATACTCAATCATAAACAAGCACTAAAATTAATAACCCATAAGGTTTACACACTAGTAGGGTTACAACCCTAGAGAAAACCTAGCTACTCATGCTAGAAAGCGAATAAAACAAAGAAGATTAAGTAATTAAAGCCTTAAACTAAGATTAAATGATAAAACTAGTGATTCTTTACCAAAAATAGAGAGACTTGACATCACCGAAAGATGACATCACTCCTTTTTGTTCATTTAATTCTTTTTCTCCTTTGATGCTCATACTAGAGATAGTTGCCTCTTTTTTATTTCATCAGCCTTCCTTTTTATTCTCTTTTGTTTTGGCATTTTTCTTTTTATGTTTTTCTTTTCTTGCATCCTCTTTTCATAAAGGTCATTTCTTTTCTATTTTTGGTACCTTAATACATCTTTTAGATTCCTTAACTCCCCCTTCCTCCCCCCCTCCCCCTATACTTATGCCTTAAGCCACTTACTTTAGAAAAGTGTTAAGAAAGGTCTATGTGCCAAGAGAGAATTGTAGACAAAATGGGTAAAGGCTTGTAGTATGGTTACCAATAGAGAAAGAATAAAGGCTCTGTCGGGTTAAAATGCAGCATATGAAGTCTAAAAGTAATAAAGTGATAAGAAAATATTGTTCCCACGAGGATTTAGGATTAACTATTTGCCAATCTAAGCTATTTATATATTTAATGCTCAAGTGAGTGTGAAGAAGACGATTGTGATTTGTATAACTAAATTATACGAACTAATAAGCAAGCAAGAAAATAAGATCGCAAGTAGAGCAAACAAACACTTAGGAAGAATTCAATGAGATGCATATTCCGGGGTTATGGGATTAATGTCTCTCCTACTGTATTTTTCGGGTTGATGTAATTGCTTCACTTATCTAATTTTTTGATTAGCAAGGTTTGTTATGCTCGCGAAGTTCTTTCGACATTTCGCTTGCCTATTCAAGCGAACCTAAGACCATATGCCTACATAATGGAACTTGACAAGAACACATGTATATTTCTTTCAAAAATAACCAAGTAAGGTAACTCGAATATGTCTATCCTAATCACAAATCTATTCTATGATGCCTAGATTCAAGAACTTGCTCTATTCATCCTTATATAAAATTTATAGTTCTCATTTTCGAGTTCAACTATAAAATTGTAGATAGTACTCTATTATTAGCTACGCAATAAAATAATTAAGTGCAAGATTGAATAAACAAATTAATATGATAAAGTCAAGCAAAACAAGTTGTTCTAACTATTGCTTCATTTTAACATTCAAGGTGAACACCTATAGAGTAAGAAATAGTCAAATAGATTAACACCTGAACAAAAATAAATAAGGGCTTATTTCAGACAAATAACTAATTTCTAAATCTCCAGCGACAGCGTTAAAAACTTGTTAGGTCCAAACACACATGTAAGTATATGCAGTCGACAAGTAATAAAGTAATAAAAAATATCATTCCCACGAGGATTTATTATCAACTATTTGCCAATCTAAGCTATTTATATATTTAATCCTCAAGTGAGTGTGAATATGCTGATTGTGATTTTTATAACTAAACTACTACAAACTAATAAGGAAGAAAGAAAATAAGAGCGCAAGTAGAGCAAATAAACACTTAGGAAGAATTCAATGAGATGGAGATATTCCAGGGTTATGGGATGAACGTTCTCCTATTGCGTTTTTCAGGTTGATATAATCATTTGACTTATCTAATTTGTTGATTAGCAGGGTTTATTATGCTCGCGAAGTTTTTTTGATGCTTCGCTCGCCTATTGAAGCCAACCTAAAACTATATGTCTATAGAATCAAACTTGATAAGAATGTATGTATATTTCCTGCTAAAGTAGCCAAGTAAGGTAACTAGAATATGTCTATCCTAATCACGAATCTATTCTTCGATGCCCGAATTCAATAACTTACTTTATTCAACCTTATATGCAATTTATAGTTCCCACTTTTAAGTTCAACTATAAATTCGTAGATAGTACTCTACGCAGTAGTATAATTAAGTGCAAGATTGAATAAACAAATTAATATGATAAAGTCAAGCAAAATAATCAGTTGTCAATTTACAATAGTGAAGAACGACCCATAACCCAGAATAATGAGGTTCTTAGTCACTCATGTTCATAACAATTATCAAAATATTATATTCAAACATAAAAGCTATGAATACTAGAAGAAGAATGGAAGAATGAATGAATTTCGTGCTCCCGAGTGTTTCGTACTTGTATTTCTCCCTCAAAGTTGTGTCCCTCTTGCCAAAATAGGTTTAGGTTTAGTTTATACGAGTTGGGGGTGTCCTGGGGTCGAAAAAATTGAGTCCCCGGCGAAATAGAACAAATTCATGTCACCATCGTCCAAGGTAACATGGGGTGCTAGCCCTAGCGCTAGAGTTTTGGAGCTTCTGACTTGTGCGCAACAGGTAGCACCCCAAGCTGCCTGTGGCATTACTTTGTAATGTTCTTCCTTTTCTTTCCCTTTTCGCTTCAAGTCACGCACCATCGTCCAAATTATCTCCAGATGATTCCTACACACAAAAATACCACTAATTAGCACAAACCATTATATTACACATCTAAAATCTATGAAACATGAGTAAAATACGAGGCAATATGCATATAAATATACATACTTTTAGCCGAATATCAGGCTCAAAGGGTTTAACTAGGGATAACAAGCATTAGGCGCAATAGAAAGCTCAAATGGACCAAGAAAAGCCTACAATAATCTTTCAAATCAAGCAAACCTAGAATTTCGCCTTGAAACACATTCGGGGCAAGTTCTAGACCATCCACTCAAATACTTGGACTAGCAACAAAAATTACCTCATCTCTCATGAAGAGGCCATGCATGACCCTAAGTGGATTGAGGCCATGGATCAAGAACTGAAGGCATTAAATGAAAACAAAACTTGGAGTTTTGTAGATCTACCTGCAGGCAAGATAGTTGTAAGATGCAAGTGGGTGTTCAAAGTCAAATACATTGTGAACTGTGAGGTGGAAAGATTTGCAAGGTTGGTGGCCAAGGGCTACACACAACATGAAGGTCTTGAGTATCAGGAAACTTACTCTCCTGTAGTCAAGATGGTGACTATCAGAGTTATTTTGTCTCTAGCAGCTATGCATGAATGGAAGCTTCATCAGATAGATGTCTTCAACGCTTTTTGGCAAGGGGACTTGGTGGAAGATGTGTACATGATTCCACCACATGGCCTTGTCAGCAAGGGGAGTATCAACAAGTCTATAAGCTTCAAAAGTCCTTGTATGACCTCAAACAGGCCTGTATATAGTGTAACCTAAAGCTTATTGAGGCTTTGACTGCTTTTGGGTTTGTACAAAGCCTCCATGAGTACTCTCTTTTCACCAAAAAATCTGGACAAGATCAGATTTTTGTATTAGTGTATGTTAATGATATCTTAATCAGTGGCTCCAACCCCACTATGATAGAAGCTGCAAAACTCATGTTACAACACTATTTCAAGATCATGGACCTGGGGAGATGAAGTACTTCCTTGGCCTTGAAATTGCTAGAAGCAAATGGGGAATTCTAGTTTGCCAGAGAAAATTTGCACTGGATTTGATTGGTGATCTTAGCTTAGCTGGATTTAAAATAGCAGGCACTCCATTGGAGGTGAATCAAAGGCTCACTAATATGGAATTTGATGAAGAAGAAACATGCACTGGTAGACAAGATGAGTTGTTGAGTGATCCTACCAGCTATTAGAAATTGGTAGGAAAGTTACTTTATCTCACTTTGGCCAGACCAAACATAGCTTATGCTATGCAAAATCTGAGTCAATTCATGCAGGCTGGGTAGTGAGGTATCTAAAGAAACCAATGGAAGGGGCTCTAAGGGTAGTGAGGTATCTAATGAATGCACCAGGCTGGGTATATTGTTATCCGCTAAGGCTTCATCACAACTCACAATACATTGTGATGGATATTGGGCTACTTGCCCAATGACAAGGAAGTGAGTCAGTGGATTTGTGGTAAAATTTGGAGATTCCTTAATCTCTTGGAAATCAAAGAAGCAAAATATCATTTCAAGAAGCTCAGCGGAGGTAGAATACAAAAGCATGGCAAATGCAGTGGCTGAGATAGTTTAGTTAGTGAGACTATTCAAGGAGCTAAATTTTGATGTGGATTTACTAATGGAGCTATTCTGTGATGACAAAGCAGAAATTCAAATAGCAGCAAATCTTATATACCATGAAAGAACTAAGCACATAAAAATTAACTGCCACATCATTAGAGAGAATGTGCTAGAAGGCCTTATTCATACGGTCCATGTTCCTTCCACTCTGCATCTAGCAGATATCCTGACAAAAGGACTTGGTAAATCACATCATGGTTACTTTTTGTCCAAGCCGGGAGTGTTAATCGCTTCTCAACACACAGCATGAGGGGGATGTTAAGAGGAATGATGACGTGGCATAGTTAGTTAGGTGTGAGTTAGTAGTTGGCTGTACAGATTTATTAGTATTTAATTATTTGTTAGTTATCAGTTAGTAGAAAATGCACTGTATAAATAGTGATGTACATCTCATATGAAAATAAGCGGAAATATTCCAGAACTCTCTTCTCCTCCTCTGTTCCATAACTCTCAATTGCTCGGGCTAGAAACTTCCATGGCTTCATCTCAACAGCTACATTATGCCCATTTCTTTTTGTCTTCGACCGGTCGTAAAAGGAAAGAAAAATAACTAAGATAATATATGTCTGAGCTTTCACTGCTTGATTCACTGATTTGCAAAAGACTTCCTGGTGGAATCGAAGTTGAGATACTTAGGGATAACATTAACTTGAACTTGTATATTCAGTGGCAGAGACACCTTGAATCAAATAGTGTTATCCGACATCGTTTCATATAATTTATTTTTGTTTAATAGGCTAATTTTTTTTTTTATATATATTAATAATAAACATGCATACATAATAGGCTGCCAACACCAATAGGAAGTAAAGCCTTCAATAGCGCACAGCGCCAGATCAGAACTTGTGTACAAGCCGAATTAAAATAATAGGTCGACATTATTTACCAAAAATTCTGCATAAAACCAATGAAAATTACAAAGGTAATAATTTACTCAAACTTGGTCTGGCTGAGTCGCGTGTTTAGTTTTTGTGACCTTTAAGCTGGCCTTATATTCACCATAGAAATAAGAGGCGAAACCCCAAAGACACATAGCTAAAGCCATCCACTTTTCTGCATTGAAGCTTTCAGGTAAGAACATCACAGCAAAGATCTGTTGTACTGGAACTAGAAGAGAGTTAACTATCCCTGACAATAGAGCTGAGGAACTGAAGATCAGTCCAAGATTTCCAATAATCATAATTTGCAAAGCTATTGCTGATAGTGCTAATATCATATAATACTTGTTCTGCCCCAGTCGAAATTCTCCAGCCTCTCTATGGATGGCCTGCATATATTTTAAAAAATATAGTAAAATGCATGAAGTCATATCCCACTTGATTATCTTTGAAAACAACTAGATATGTAAAAGCTTTATACTTTTCATTCTAAACCAAAAAAAGCTCATTTCATTGAGACTCTACTTTTTTCATTTCATATTACTACATCTTTCCACTATTTATGGCACTCTTTCTTCTTTACTTTTTGACGATCCCCTCGTGATCATATTTGAAAAGAACTAAATAAAGGATCTTTATAAAAGATTGTGTTTCACTCTGAACCTAGAAAGTTCTTGTCAGTGTAACTGATCAGCTTTTTTCCTATTATACATATTCCACTAAATTGATGATAATCCCTCTGTTTCAATAAAAGGGAAGTTTAAATTGGTAGAGTTTAAGAACTAAATATAAACTTTTGAAACTTGTGGTCAAAATATGTCATAATGTTTGTGTGATTATAAAACTATTAAAACATATATCTTTAAACATGACATAACATATATGTTTATGTAGTTATAAAAGTTTCTCATTAGGGCATGTATAAGATAAAGTTAAAAATGTTAATTGTTTGCAAATTTAAAAGTGTGTCGTCCATTTCAGAATAAACTAAAACTAAAGTATGTAACATAATCTGGAATAGAGGGAGGGAGGGAGAGCATATTATTTTAATATATTTCTCACAACTATTTGTAATAATTTTCTTTCATCTATCTATTCAACTTTTGAATATAATATGATGATTTCTTTATCATACTAATTTATCATAGCACAAATAATTTAACTTCTATATGATAACAGTGTAAGCTTTTGTAAACAACCTATTGTAACAGATTAAAGTACTACTCTGATAAAATGGAGGTAGTAGTACGTTATTATGAATATCAACATGTCTACTGAAATTTTAGAGACAAATATAGCCTAAAAAGATGTTATAGTAGTAATTCTATACCTGAAAATCTTCATTAATAATCATGGCGACGACACAAAACAAAGTGGAGAAGATGCATATAAGAAACTGCATTTGCATGACAAGATCAAACGTAACAACAACTCCAGCTTTGATATGGCTATACTCCACCCCTGCATTTACAAATCCATGAAGAGCAGCACCGACAATTGTCATGACAAACCCTAAAACGTATTGACGATTCGACTCTCCTTTAGGCCTATCTCCATTCATGTGCAGCCCTAATATGATTGATCCAAATGTCATCAAAACCACAGCATTTATAGAATAATGTGTGAACTTATGTTTCACGAAAAAATAAGCGAAAATCGCCGTGAAAGCCAGTGATGTTGAAGCGAGGAGGGAGGAAATTGAAACGGGAAGATAAGACATGCCGAAAGTGTAAAGGTAGCTACAAACACAAAAAAGGAGACCTAAAATAGCACTGGCTAATATTAGTTTTGGTGTGAGTATAACTCTATTAGTTTCTGTTTTAGCTTTTCTTCTTTTTGCATAAGAAATGGCAATTGGCAAAACCAAGATTGGAAACCCTGCTGTAAGCAAAAAAGCTTGCAACCATTTCCTTTTTCCACCATGCAAAAAGTAAATCCTAACAAGCATAACACCTGCTATTTGGCCAACTGCCATGAAGATGCAGTTGATGAAAACAAGCAGTGTTTTGATTGACATGAAATTCTTGAGTTTCCTAGGCTTACATTTTTCCCCTCTTGCTTCCCTTTGTATGTCCATTTTTTTTTTTCTCTACTCTTGAGAGATTTCTGTGTTATCAAGATATTTATTCTAATTAGAGAGATTTCTGTGTTATCAAGAAATGAGACTGCTCATTTGCCGAAATAATTAATTGAACGGATAAGACAAAGAGAGAAAGCGTAATCTAACTTTTATACCATCTACATCTACATATATAATAAAGGTGGGAATGAGATGTGGCATCTCTCCTAATTCAGAAAATATATTTATCTATTTTCTCAATTTTTTGGGGTTCTTCTCATTTTAAAACTATATATTTAATTTTTGAACCCAATTTTTTTTTTTTTAATTATAGCTCCATAATAAATAAGGGAAGAGAGAAAACAATAATACCATAACTAAAAGATGTCCGTTTTTAGCTACCAGATCAATCTTGACCAATTATTATATCCGTTTCAATTCGTTATTATGATCCTATTATTACTAATTAATGCACCAACACTAATTCTATTACAATTGCTCTGCCTAATTTTACGTTACAATTTATTCCTGTTATACTCAATGAAAGTTACAAATTGAATTGGTTTACTATAAATATAAGCAAATCTTTTCCATCACATAACTTTCGTTTATTGTTCCTTATCAATCCTTCACTCTGTATAAGAAATCTTCTTCTTTTTTTTTAAAACTCTTTTTCCAGTTATTCGCATTCTTACCCCAGTTATTATTTTGACACAAATTGTGTGCATAACTTTTATTGACTAGGAAATGGAGTGGGAGAGTAAGGAAGAGAAGTGCATAGATATTATTTTTGGGAGTATGGATTCAAATTCAAGTTTTCTACAGAGGTCATATTACTATAATGGTTTGTTGCATAGTTTGCTACAGAGGCTATATTTTCTCAACCAGAAAAATTGAGAAAATATGTTTAATCTATATGCTCTCAAAAGCAAATGAGAACCTAAAAAAATGTGATTATTTTTTCAGTTCAAAACAAACAATACGATTTGTGTGCATATGCAAATAGGAGATAGAAGGAACTTAAAAGGCACTCAACTCAATTAGTAGGGCTTTTGTTCGGCAATTTATTCAAATTATCCTTGCTTCTCGCGTTCTCCGTGTGGTTGCGGCTATATTTATATATCTCAAATTGTGGTTTTTTCTTTATTTCTCTCTATTGAGTTTATGGAGTAATTAGTGATAGTGTGTGTTGGAATGGAAGGAGCAATTAATCAAAAATTCAATTTTTAAAGATTTTCCATAAGATTAATAGGAGGAGGAAGAGGAATTGATTTGGTTATTTATGGAAGGATAATTTTTTATGTTACGGCGTGATTGAATGGTATTTATATGAGAAAAAAGTAAACAAGAAAATTTTAAAAATGTGTATTTTGATTTACAACTTATAATATATTTTATTATATATGTAAAAATATATGAGTGATATTCTATATATATATATAGAAAATGACTATGATATTTGGATGAGAAGGCTAATAAAACCTAGAATAATAGTTGCCGCCACTTGGATCATCGCAAATGTTTACAAGAAGGACAATAGAATTCTGGCATTTTGAGCTGTCTAATTTTTTGGTCTCTCTAAATTCAAAAGGATAAATTTGAACGAGGCATAACACATTATAAGAGCAATATCAATACGGAAAAGAGAATAACTCTTGAGAAACATTTAAGTGCTGATGCACTTTGTGAGATGAGAAAAAAGGTGGAAAAGAAGGAGGTATACTAATATATGTTAGAAAGTGATATTTGAATTTTTTAAATATGGTACATAAATAAAGGAAAGTATAAGGAAAAAAATAATCAAGAGAGAAATTAAAATTTTGGATTTTTCATGAGTTAGTAGGAGGAGATCGGTAATAGAAATGATAGAAGGGTGTAAATACGAGAAAGAAAAGCAAAAAAATAAATAGAGAAGATAAGCAAAGGTAAGTAAATGAAAAAGAGGGCCAGAAATTGTGGGAAGTGGAAGATAATATTGGAATGAATATAAGATCGTAAAAATAATAATAGATAAACAAGAAAAATAATGAAAGGAAAAAATAAAATCTCAAAATGCCAAAATAGTAATGAGAATATAGTAAAAAAAACTTTTTTGCTTTTTCTTCATTTCTTAAAATAGAATAAAGTCTATTTTATTTTTTATTTTTATGAAAGTAAGGAGAAGAAAATCAACAATTGGACATAGATTTATCCACTTCCTAAAATTTTGAAAATATAAGTTTCGAACTTAAATATATCTATTAGAAATCTTAAGAAAATAATCATGATAGGAGGCCAAATTAATTTTAGTGCCTCCAAGAAGTAGAGAAAATAAATTTTGACCACACCATTTAATTTATTGGATATAATTATTTATCAAAAGAAAATAAGACTAAATCGATTGATTACTTTTGTTATTTTTTATTAACATATTAAAAATTGATCAAATCGTTAACTTAACTACGCGAAGCGTGGTCAATTCACTAGTAGGAGTAATAAATTAAAAGATTCATACACTATCAGGTTAGGTGAGATTATCTATGAGTAATTATTGCTAACAATAAGTAAAACAAGTTGTGTAGAAAATAAGACATGCAATTGCTACATGTAACGGCCCGGCCGGTCGTTTTAAGAATTTACGCTCTGATCCCTTATTAACTACTTTTTCCGTATTTGTTTCTGCTATTTTGATTTGTCGGGATGATTTGTTTTGAATTTCGGAGTGTTTTGGGATACTTAGTCCCTAAAAGAGAGTTTAAGCTTTAAAATTTGGACCGTAGTCGGAGTAGTATGAAGACGGCCTCGGAATAGAATTCCGTCAGTTCCGTTAGCTCCGTTGGGTGATTTTGAGCTTAGGGGATTGTTCGGATGATGTTTTGGAGGTCCGTAGCTTATTTAGGCTTGAAATGCCGAAAGTTGAATTTTTGAAGTTTCCGGTTCGATAGCGAGATTTTGATATCGGAGTCAGAATGGAATTCCTGAAGTTGGATTAGTTCCATAGTGTTGAATGTGACATGCTTGTAAAATTTCAGGTCATTCAGACGAGGTTTGATAGAGTTTTTGATCGAAAGCGGAATTTGGGATTTCTTGGAGTTCTTAGACTTGAATTCGATGTTAATTTGGTGTTTTGATGTTGTTTTGAGCGTTCCGAAGGTTGGAACAAGTTTAAATGACGTTTTAGGATTGGTTGGCATATTTGGTTGAGGTCCCGGAGGCCTCGGGTGTGTTTCGGATGCTCAACAGGTCATTTTTGGACTTAGAAAATTGCAGATTTTCTTCTGTTGTGTTGCAGAGAGAACCTTCATCGCGAGAGGGTTCTCGCGTTCGCATAGAGCATCTGGGTGAAGCAGCTGAATCGTGCTTCGCGTTCGCGATGATGTCCCGCACTCGAGAAGGTATGGAGACTTTGGTCTTCGCGTTCGCGACATGGTCCTCACGTTCGCGTAGGATCCGCTAGTGTAAGCTACGCGTTCGCGAAAGAGGAAGACTAGCCAGTGGATTTTTGTGCATCGCGTTCGCAACAATGGTCTCGTGTTAGTGAAGAAGAACGTGTCTGGGCAGAACATAAATTTCAAAATCGAGGATTTTGAGTTCATATCACAAAATTGAATTGGGAGCTCGGTAGAAGGCGAATTTTGGAGAGATTTTCGGAGAAAGTTTGTGGGTAATGATTACTAACTCCTTTTTTCTTATAACCCATTAATCTAAACGTGAATTCATCATCTAATTTCAAATTTTGGGTGAGAAATTAGGGAAAATTTTGAAAAGGTTCTTAGACCTAATTTGGGGTTTTGATTAAGATTTTGGCATCGGATTTGGATAATTTTGGTATGGTTAGACTCGTGAGTTAATGGGGGTTCATAATCCGTAACTTTTACCCGATTCTGAGACATGAGCGCGGGGGACTTTTTGGCCGATTTTCTTAATTTCGCGTGTTAGCATCGAATTAATTAGTGGAATTAGTTACTTGAAGTTATATTTGCATTATGCAATTGATTTGAATAGATTTGGCCATTTGGAGTTGAGTACTCGTGGCAAGAGTGTGGTTTCAGGTTGATTTTGAACCGGTTCAAGGTAAGTGGCTTGCCTAACCTTGTGTGGGGAAACTCCCCTTAGAATTTGGTACAGTTGATATATGAAATGCGGTGAGGTGACGAGTGTGTATGTGCTAATTATTAAAAATCCTATTTTCATTAAGTAACTATAATTTTGTTTCCTTCCATGTTTATATTACTTGTAATTTAAGCCTACTGTTAGCTTAGGGAAGCATGTCTAATTGACTTAATTGCTTTACTTGCTCAACTGCTTTATTTGAATTTTGTGCAGCATGCTATGTTAGAAATATCTGTTTTACCTTTGTATGAAATTAGATTTAATTGAATACTCTTCGTGTTGCTGCTGTGTTTACTTTGGGACTACGGGCGATATTCTGGTAGATCCCCCTTGCCTATTTATTTGGGACTATGGATTGTATTCTGGTAGATACCCCTGCACATTTATATTGGAACTACGGAACTGCACCCGGTAGATTTTCCCGGTACTAGATACTTACATTTGAGACTACGGATCGGGATTCCGGTAGATCCCCGCGCACTATGAGTTGGACTACGGGACGAAACCCGGGAGATCCATTGGATATTTATATTTGGGGATTATAGGACGGTGTCCTGAGAAATCCCCGATTGCTATCTCTGTGTGGAGTTACTTTCTTATCTGTAATTTTCTATCTGTTGTATTTGTTGTTATTCTTATTATCTTGTGTTACTTCATATTGTTAGCATTTAATTATATTGTCGTATTCTATATTGTTTTACCTTGCTTTTCAGCTATAATCGGTAAGGCCCTGACCTTCCTCGTCACTACTCGACCGAGGTTAGGCTTGACACTTACTGAGTACCGCTGTGGTGTACTCATGCCCTTTCCACACATATTTTTCAAGTGCAGATCCAGGTTCTTCGGCTCCGCCCTACCATCCTTGAGGCGAGGCGATCCTTCAGAGATTTCGAGGTATATCTGCCGCGTCTGCACACCGAGGAGTCCCTCTCCATCCTCTCTTGTAGTTACAGCCCTTCTATATTCACTGTTTTAGACATACTGGAGTTAGAGCACTATGTAGTATCCTTAGCTTGTGA